TGGGGGGCTGTGTGCTGAAGAAGGTGTGCTGGGGGGCTGTGTACTGAATAAGGTGTGTGGGGGAGCTGTGTACTAAAGAAGGTGTGGGGGGGGCTGTGTACTAAAGAAGGTGTGGGGGGGGCTGTGTGCTGAAGAAGGTGCAGGGCGGGGGATGGGACAGCGTGCTGAACAAGGTGCGCTGGGCAAGGGGGGGGCATGTTCTGAAGAAGAGGCAGGGTGGGGGAGAGCATGCTGAAGAAGGTGCTTGGGGACAAACAGGCTCTCACAGGGTGCTCTACAGGGCTTGTGAGCCCCAGCTTCACACACACAAGCCGTTATATAGGGCTGGAGGGGGTTCTCTCCTGTCCTGTGGAGACCAGAGCTTGTCAAGTGGCCGTAGAACCTACTTGGGCGAGGCCTGGGTGAGAGCTCTGAGAGGAGCTCATGGCTCGTGCATCCCATCTGTCCCCACTGCAGGTGGCTGAAATCCACAAAGCCTCCAAGGACGGACAGCTGTACACTGACGTGGGATGTGGGGTCAAGGGCAGGGGTGCCCAGGCTGAGCCCCCAGAGCCCAGTGAACATGACACCCCACCAGCCTCTCAGGTGTACTCGGTGTGTGGTAATCGGGTCCCTCTGCCTTCTCCTGGTCTCATAGCCCAGACCCTGGGATGCCTGGAGGATCCTCCAGCACCCCCTCTCTGCTGGCTACACCTCTGAAGCCTTACATCTTTCAGTCTCCCTGAGACCTCAGAAAGACGGAGACACTGATCTCCCTTCCCAGTCCCTGAACGCCTAGCCCACCCAGTGGTTCTGCTGGACCCATCAGTTAGCGAGTCCCAGGGGACTGGCTGGTGGTCAAGCCTTCTCTCCTCCTCACAGCTCAAAGCCAAGCGGGTGGGAGCTGGTTTCCCTAAAGGCTCCAGCCTCTTCCAGACGGCCACTGAGCTGATGGCGAGGACAGAGGGACCAGGCCCACAGCCTGTGCTGAAAGGTGAGGAGGAGGTCCCCAGGCAACCGCAAGTCCTCCAAGATGACAGGGTGGAGCCCCTCCCTGAGCCCAGAGACACAGATCCTGGGAGAGCTGAAAGTGGGGGACCCTCTACTAAGAAGAAGGCCAAAGACTCCAAGGGCAGCCCCCCAGCCAAGCCCCGGGCCAAGAAGCAGCAGCTCCTGGCCGAGGCGGCCCGCAAGGACTCCCAGAGCATCACCCGCTTCTGCCAGAGGGTGGAGGGGCCCCCACCAGCCCCAGAGAAGATCACAGGGGAGCCCCCCAGCGAGGAGCCAAGGTGAGCACACTGGGGGGGCTGGGACACCTGGCCACATCCCCTGGGCTGTAGAGCTCAGTGCTCATTCCTGAGATAGCCCGGCACCTGTGAGTACCTGGAGGCCTGACGCCTGACCTTTTCTGACCAGCGCCCATCCACATGATGGCCAGCCACCCCCTGCAGCTGATCCCATGCCCCCACAGGAGACCCAGAGGGGCAAGCATCCCAGACCGCAGCAGGTACATCAGAACCGTGCCCCCATAGGAAGGGGGGAGGGTTGGACAGAGGACCAGTCTTCCAGGAGGGAGACCCGCGGCAGGGAGCCCAGGAGTGACCCTGCACGGTGACTGCTCAGGACCCAGAGCCCCTGGCTAAGAAGAGGCCTCGCCCCTCAGCCAAGCCCTTCGTTTCTGCTGAGGCCACGGGCAGCATCCCAGCTGGGGACCAAGAGCCCTTGCAGCCCGCAGCCCAAGGCCCCTGCCAGCCCCCAGCCCCCAGCATCTCTCTGAAGGAGGCTGCGGGTGTGGTGGTCAAGTGCCTCACCCCTTTCTACAAGCAGGGCAAGTTTGCATCCAAGGTACGCATCCAGGGGGGCTCTGCCCTGCCCTTTGGCCTGGGACACCTGGGGTGGGGTGGGAGGCAGGAGTGGAAGCCCTCTCCGAGCTCTGCTTTGCCCTGGGGTGTGGCTATGGCCCCTTGAAACAGGCCTCTCACCCCCTGCTGTCCCAGGAGCTGTTCAAAGGCTTTGCCCGCCACCTCTCACACCTGCTGACGCAGGAGGCCTGCCCTAGAGGAAGTGGTAAGTGCCGCACCCCATGTTGGGGTGGGAGGCATAGGGTGGGAGGGGCATTGCCCAGTGGAGACCCTTACACCACCCATCCTGAATCCAGTGACAGAAGAAGCTCAGAACCTCATCAGGCAGTTCTTTCACGGCCGAACCCGGTGTGAGAGTGACGCAGACTGGACGGGCCTGTGCCGGCCCCAGCGATGATGGACCGTCCTGCACTCCACCGTGGGGCAAGCCTGACACCAGAGTCTCTCAGGGTTCTTCCAGCCACGCTTGGCCTCAGGCACCCCCCAAGGTCAAGGCCAGGAGCCAGCCCCTCTCCCTGCTTGTGAAGCTTAGAGCCACCGTGTCCCCTGCCCTCATGGCTGCGTATCCAGACTCAGGGACCCAAATGAGAACATGCTGTGTGACTGGCAGCTGCCGTGGCCCGAGGAAGAAAGATGAACTTCTTTGCTTTATTTGCACCTGCCCCAGTTAGTGGGCTGTTCTGGAGGGGCCCCTGCTGGCCTCAATGCCTCCCCCACCTCTGTGCAGCCTGCAGCCTCCTCCTGGGCTGCGGAGCCCAAGGGCAGCGGGCTGGCCTGTCCCTGCTCCTGCTGGGCAGATGGACAGTGGAGTAAAGTCCCATTTGTATCCACAGACACATCCCTCTTCTCGGTGGTTTTATTTTCTCAGCAGTTGCTGCTTCTGGACCTGAGCTTTTGCGGGTCTGGAGGAGGGGTGGGGACCCGGGCCAGGCAGGTATCTCCCCAAGATCAGGCAGCACCAGGTGTCCAGCTGAGCTTCCTGCAGCCCCCTCCACCCCAGGCCAGCCCACCCGCAGGAAGTCTGGAAGCTCTCCCCAGGATGGTGCCCCCAAAGCAGCCCATCGGGCACCGAGGACCAGCTGGCCTGGGCGGCGGCAGGTTCCGTAACAAGCAGGCGGACGGGCTGGGGCACCGGGCGGAGCGTGCAGAGCCGGGACTGGCCGCTGGCCCTCTAGAAGCTGCCGTTGGTGCCACTGTCCTTGAGGAAGGCGATGGTGTGCTGCAGTTCCTGGGCCTGCAGGCAGGGGGCATCGTGCCGGCTCAGCCCTGCCTCACCTGAGCCCTGCCTCACCTGAGCCCTGCCTCACCTGAGCCCTGCCTCACCTGAGCCCCGCCCACCGAAGCCCGGCAGGTGGGCTCTCACCTGCGGCAGCTCGAACCAGATGGTGCGGGGACTGTGGGCGGAGCCGTGGTTGAGCTCCAGGGCAGGGGGCCCGCCCTCTTCCAGGGGGCTGAGCACGTGCAGCCGCTGGACCTCGGCGAGGGCGATGGAGCAGCACAGCTTCTGTTGGGGGGGCGGGGTCATCCAGGGGCCTGGGAGGGGCGTGGCCCCCGGGCCGGCACGCGAGGGGCTGTGCTCACCTGGGAGTTGGGGTCCATGAGGATGAGGTGCTGACGATTGAGCCCCAGGAGGCTGGGCCTGGGCATGGCCAGCTCGCTCACACGCAGCACCACGTACACAGTGTAGCCAAAGAGGGGCAGCCGGGTCACGGCCTCTGGCGAGAGGAGGGCAAGGTTCTGGCCAGGGATCTTGGGGGGGTCCCTTCTGCCCCTCCTAGGCCTCCACACCCCCCTGCACACCCACCGATGAAGCTAATCTGTGCATCCTGTGAGCTGTGTCCCTGCAGCTGTCTCAGCTCCTGGCCCATCCTGCCCTTTATGGCGGCCATGTCCACCTGCGACGTCAGGGGCTTTGGCACGTAAAGCAGCAGGTCTTGCCTAGGACACAGGCAAGTTCAGTGACCACTGACCGGGGGCACGGCTGGGCGCACAGCAGGTGCTCCTGGGGGTAGGAGAAAACGGGGGACCACAGCCAGAACTGGCCCTGCTCCAGCCCCACCAGGTGGGTGGACGTTGGCTCCAGGGGGACACACTCACTCAGAGGGGGGCTCCTTGGTGGCCTTGCTGACGTGCTGCAGGGCCGCCAGGTGGGCGAGCTGGGCGTCTGCCTGGGCGCTCACCAGCAGCTTCCCCTGGAGGTAATCTCGCAGTACCTGAGGGGAAGCATGCGGGGCTCATGTCTGTGGAAGGCCCCCGGTTGGGGGGCCCTCAGCCCCTGGAGCCTGGCACTGACCTGGTGGTAGTGGACGCTGATGTAGGTGGAGTGGTCGAAGTGCAGCTGGCTCTCCCAGCCCAGCCGCCGGGCATGCAGGCTGAGGTCAGGGGCCCCCATCACGCTGTTGAGGTACTCACTGAGCCGCAGAGGCCGCACCAGGTCACCTGCGTGGGGCCACGGTCACAGCCCGGCCTGCCTGCCACAAGTGGCTGTCCACCCCACCTAGACGCGGCCCCCCTCAACCTCAAGATGCCCTCTTCCAGCTCACCTTCCCCTTTGATGACGAACAGGGCGAACTCCTGCATTTCCTGCGGGTCCATGATGCCCATGCGCCCACACAGCTCCTCCAGCACCTCCGAGACCACCTGGCGAGGGGGCTGGCTGTCACAGGGGCGTGGCTGTCTTCGGCGTCCCCACCCTTCCCCGCCCCCACCTCACTCACTGTGAACGTGTGAATGTTGGTCTTGTAGTCCACACCCCCCGGGAGGTGGATCAGCAGCATGCGGACCGCCTGGCCTTTCTGCAGGGACAAGATGTCCATCAGCATCCCCCGGGATTCAGGGGCCCCAGTGCTCTCCCACAGGGTCTCAGGAACCCCTCCACTTGCACCCCCAGTACCAAGAAGGCCTGCATCTCCCCTGGCAGTGGCAGCTGCTGGTGGCCCCCATATTTGACTGTGCGCTGCAGGTGCTCTTGGCTTCTGCGGGCCAGCTCTGCAGGGAGGAGCAGGGGGAGGTCAGAACACCCCGAAGAGCTCCAGCAGTGGAGCACCTGCCCCCCTGCCCTCAGGCACCTTGGCTTGGCCCTGTGTCCTGCAGGAACTTGGTGACGTAGGGCATCAGGGTGGTGGAGGGCGGGAAGAAGCCTGTGAGGAGACTGAGGAAGGTCCAGCCCCGCGTGCAGTGCCCTCTGCGGGCAGAGCGCCAGGCATCAGACCACCAGCACCCTGTGCCCACCCCCAAGGCCTGAGCCTGCTCTAGCAGGCCTCCCCACTCACAGCTGGACATGTCCTGTCTCCTGGGCCCCCCGAGGCCCTGGGTCCACTCAAGCAGACCCCTCCACACAGGGCTAGAGGTAGCCCACCTCAGTAGACACCTCCACTCGCAGCTGGGAGTGTCCCGTCACCTCTACCCCAAAGGCCCTGTTGCCTGCCTCATCAGGCACCCCCTACTCACGACTGGGGATGTCCTGTGACCTGCTTGATGACCTGGCAGTAAATCTCATCCCTGAGCCTCTCCTCCCGGGATGCCTGTGGGCACAGGAAGGGCAGGGAGCTGTGAGACATCCAGGACTTGGCTGGCCGTCCTGCAAACCTCTTTGCAAAGCCATACCCTGAAGGGTCCCCATCTGTGCGGTTCCCTGTCCCTATGCTCTCTTGTTCAGGACAGTCACACTGCCCGAGGGCTACACACCCTCTCCCTTTTGATCTCTACCCTGACCAGGAAGCACAGACTGGTTAACTAATTTGTCCGGGGTCACACAGGAGTTCAGAGTGGAAGCTCACGTAGGCCAAAGTGCCTTTCTCAATACAGTAAATACATTTAAAAAGTTCACATTTATTCTAATGCAATAAATACAATCATGACATTGCCACTGGACACACGTCTGCCACTGTCTCCACCCACTGGGGGTCACAACCCCGTGTAAGTTCAGGTCCCCTGTCCCGTGCATCTGCCACTTACAGATGCTCAGTAAGCACTTGGTGATGTGGACAGTGAGCGAGGGGTGGACACCCCTTCATTCCAGGCAGGAGGACTAGCAGCCCACAGCCCCATGCACAAACCCACTACCTTCAGCAGGTCGTAAAGCAGCTCCAGGTCGTCTTTGTTCCGTGGCTTGGACTGGTCCCCCATGAACTGCATCAGAGCTGCCCAGCAGGAAAGCAGGAATAGGGGCTGAGCACCCTCCAAACCAGGCCTTCGAACCAGTTCAGTCCAGTCCTACTCTAGCTGGAAATTGGCATTTCTGCCCCTGATGTACAGAATCTGAATCAACATCTGGTTTTTCTTTTTCAGTTGTGGTTTGGATGAAACCCCACAGAGCAAATACGTTTTCCGCTCAACAATTCATACACCTTTGATTTGCTTGCTCTGGTTACATCCACTCAGTGTGACACTCTTCCTCCTACTTCCTCTGGTGCTAGTTGTCTGTCTGTCCTCATTTCCAGGCCCTTCCTGTCTTCTGGGATTTGTTTCAGGGTAAATGCTGCCCTTTTCATCTTGTAAGGGGGTGTGTGTGCCGAGGAGTACCTCCCTCCAGGCCCACTTTATAGGTCTGAGTATAAGCTGGAATTGTCCCCCGGGGGTGGGCTCTGTCCAGCCTTAAAGGGCATCCACAGGCCACATTCCTGGGGGTCCCACCAGTCTCTAGTAGACCAGGACATGCCTGGTCTCTTTACCATTTTCCATTTTCTATACTTTCCCCCCCCCCACTCTGTCCAGGACCTTCTCCTGTGATCAGAGTGACTGGGCACCATGTAGACCTCCTGGTCTCAGAGGAGTAGATGCTGAGATCATCCGAGTTCTTCGAGTCGGCTTCTCTTCACTCTCTTTTGCTCCGACTAATAATAGTCACATCTCAGGGGCCACTTAAGCTTTCTAGACCCTGGTCACTACTCAGCACAGAAGAACGTCGACCACTGTATTTGTGGGCAATGTTAGACCAATTAGATGCACCTGCCCTGACCGTGGTCTAAGTTCTCAAGCGGCACGAGGGGATTATTACACATACCCAGAAGTCTTGTTTCATGGACAACCTGATTCGTAATGTCGAGCATGTTATTGTTACGTGTGCTGTAGAGTCGGGACCAGCTCATAACTGACCTCCAGAGGGTTTTCAGAGTCTGGAGGATTTTGCCCATCTTCCTTCTGCAAAGCAGCTGGTGGATTCAAACTGCCTGCTCTCCGATTGGCATTGCAACCCTCTGCCCGCTAGGCCACCAGAGTAGGGAAGTGCAAATTCTCAAACAGAAATGAACTGGGTCAAAGCCTTGCTCAAAATGCAATGAGCTGGATGGGGCACCTGGACCAGCTTTACCACAGGCAGATGGGGGCCCCCCACAACCCTAGAGAGGAGAAGTGGTTGTTGGGTGGGTTGTGGACACACCAAACAGCTTCTCTGAGGGGACAGAGGGCTCTGGGAGACAAGCTGCGGATGCAGGGATCCAAGCTGACCACCCAGCCTCAGCCAGGGCCCAGGTTGGCACTCACCCTGGAAGCTTTCCACAGCCCTCTTGTTCATGTCCTTGTCACCGAGAGCGATGAGCGATTCCTGGATGGGCACCTGCAGCGACAGATGTGGGCCCGTGAGGCGGAGGTCATGTGGGGCTGAGGGACCCTGCGCTCACTGCCCCCCCAACTCTACCTCACCTTGGTGTACTGCACAAGGTCAACCGTGGTACCTTCACCTGTTGCAGGCAGCCTGGGGACAGAAGGATGACAGCCTGGGTGTCCAGCCCTCCTGCCCTCAGCCGAGGCTATCTGGTGCTAGGAGCAATGGCCTTGGTGGCCCTGCCCAGGCTGGCCTGGGGGCGGGACACTCACAAGCCTTGGGGCCTCCGGAAGAAGCGCTGGGCGAATTCCGGCATGGTGTAGGCATGGGAGTCTGCGGGCAGGGAGTCGTAGGCGGCAACCGAAGGCAGGCTAGTGGCCTCCGAGTCCTCACTGTGCGTCCAGCTCCGCGGCTTCATGGGGAGCTGGGAGCACAGGAGACCTGCTGCCACCTGTGTGCCCCCTGGCCTGTCCCAGAGGCCCTGCCCACCCCCTCTCCAAGCCAGCCCCGAGGGAAGCAGGCAGGCAGCCCAGTGAGCAGACAGAGGCAGACAGACAGTCAGAGCTGTTTATTGAGCAGCGTCTTCTGTGGCAGGTGACGGGGGACAGCAGCCCCTGCCCACAGCGGGCTCACAGTCTTGCTGGGAGGGAGGCGAGAGCGAGGGGCAGCGAGCAACCTCGGACCAAGTCCACCAGGCTCCTTAGCACTCAGCGGGCCTCGGGCTGGGGCCTTCACCCCCTGCTGTTCTCACCTCCGAGGCCCTGGCCCCCGGAGCGAGCACCGGCTCCCCACGAGGCGGTGGTTTCCTCTGCCGGCTGCCCCGCTGCTCCACCGAGGGGTCGGGGGCGGCTGCTGGCTGCACCAGGTCAGAGGGAAAGAGCCCCGAGCGGCCCCCGCAGGAGCCGAACTGCCAACCTGGAAGGCAGCCACAGGGCACCTCACTCAGGCACCTCCCAGGATTCTGCAGGCAGGCAGGGCTAGTCCCCCGCCTGTCCCCAGGGGTACCTGACTTCAGGGTGGTCATGGGTAACAGCTTGATGAGGTCCCCGCGGTGAACGCTGAGGAGGCTGCTGTCGCCAGTGATGTAGCTTCGCAGGGCGACAACATAGTTGGAGTCCTGGTTGGCAGGTGAATTGGTGGATATGTGGGCAGGGGACAGGTGGGCATGTGGGCAGGGGACAGGTGGGCATGTGGGCAGGAGACAGGTGGGCATGTCTGCAGGGGACAGGTAGGGATGTGGGCAGGTAAATCGGTGGGTATAGTGGGCAGGTGAATCAGTGGGTATGTGGGTCGGGGACAGGTGGTCATGTGGGCATGTGAATCGGTGGGCATGTGGGCAGGGGACAGGTGTGGCTCCTGTTCTTTTGACCTCTCCACCCAACACTAAGAGTTCTAGAGAGCCAGCTCTCCCCCCACAGCATGAACAGACCCCCTGACCCCTCAGTCCAGTGCACCCCCACAGCATGAACAGACCCCTTGACCCCCAGCCGGCCCCCCTGGCCCACACGTGCCTTCCTGAGCTCATTCAGGTACAGCTCGACCATGGCCTTGATGGCGCCTGCCCGGGCCGTGTACAACATCAGCTGCTCGCTCCTTAGCGACAGCTCCAGGGTGGTGGCATCCCGACACTCCACACCCAGCACCTCGGCAAAGCTGTGCACACAGTGGGCCATGAGCTCGGGACCCCGCTGCCCCTCCCCAGCCGGCCCTGGTCCTTCCCTACCTGTACGAGCAGAGGGTCTTCAGTTGGTCTGGGTGGGGGCCGGAGCCCCGGGTCACCTTGAGCAGTCTCAGCCCCCGATGGGACACGGCCAGCAGCTGCACGTCGCTGCCACTCTCACCCTGAGGGGAGGCGAGTGGGTCACGGCAGGCTGTGGGGCCTCGTGCTCCTGGCCCCTCAGGGCTAAGGAACAGGCCCCCGAGCTGTCCTTCCCAGAGACCCCGCTTTCATCTTTGCTGCTGGAGGCTGGGAGCCCCCACCCCACCCCGATCCCACAGACCTAGGGTCCCTGACCCTGACCGTGACGGGGAAGAGGCGGGAGAAATAATTGGTCCAGTTGTCCCGGGCTGCCACCACGATGCGCTTCTTGACATTGTCCTCAGCGGAGGCGATGGAGTCCAGTCCCACCTCCAGGTCCCCTGCAGGCAGGAGTGGCCCCAGCTGTGCTCGGTGCACACAGCAGCGGCTCCCAACCCCCCAACCCCCAGCCCCAGCCTCAGGGCCCCTACCCAGCAGGTCCCTCATTCGGCGCCGCTCGTCCTGGGAGATCCGGATGCAGGACTCGGCCGAGGTGTCTCGCAGGATCTAGGACAGAGGCAGCCGTCACCAGGGTTCCGGGAACAGCCACAGGCACAGCCGGCGGATGGAAGGCTAGAGGCCTCGGAATGGGACAGAGGGGCTCCGAGCCCAGGGCCTGTCCCCCAGAGCTTCCCATCCACCCTCCCATGGATGGCAGGGGGCTGTGTGTAGTTGGGCGCAGAGGCTGGGCTGCAGCCCGCTGGGAGTGTACGTGCTGTGTACATCTTGTGCACTGGCTCGGCTTCTCTCCACTATTTTGTTTCAAGAGGTGAAAGCCACGTAACACAAAAAGGACCCTTTATAAACACTTGAGTGGCATCTGGGGCGCGAGCCAGCCCATCCACTTTGCGCTTGGGGATCCTTTGTACACCATGGACTTGGGGCTGCTCCGGGGGAACATTCTGAGGGTGGAGTGAGCAATTGTGCACCCCGCGGCTGCCCTGGTCCCGCACTGTCTCACCTGCTCACAGAGAAGCCGGAGGCAGTAGGGATGACTGAAGTTCTCCCGGGGATAGAACACCTGCGGGGGGAATGGCACAAGCTCAGGGGGGTCCTGCCTGCCCCCAGGAAGCCCCTTGATTAGCCCCCAGTGTTTGGCTGGGTGGGGTGCCCACCTCCTTGCGCAGGAAGAGTTTCCAAGGTGGCCCTGCATAGGAGAAGCAGACACTGCCCGAGGGTACAAGCAGTTGTGTGGAGATGCCCTGGTCACACATGGGCTCCGAGGACACTGAGGGGAGGACATCAGTTAGGGGCACAGGGGAGGCCCTCATCTCCCCCAAGAGCCCTCTCAGTCAGTCCCTTGCCACCTCACTTCTGCCCTCAGCACCTTCTCTGGCCTCCACATCTTGCCCTTTAAGCTCCCAAGTCATGTCAGCCCCCTTCCATGTCAGCCAAGGTCACTGTATCTCCACTAAGGTGTCAGGTTTGCTGGAGGACAACCCTAGAGGGACAGGCTGTGGCACCCGCAGGCCCCAGAGGTGCTGGCCCCTCCCGGGACTGGCATGCGGAAGCCAAGCTCCCTGCTGATGGCTCTAAAGTCCAGGAGTGGGCAGCTGATCTCAGCCAGGGACACTTAGAGGCTGCTGGGAGTCCTGCTTCTGCCTGTTGAGGCCACCACACAGAGACGGGGTCCTCACCATGTGGCCTAGCTGGCCGCACCTCTGGGTCTCCAGGCAGAGTCAGTGGGGGTGCTGGTGGAGGTGGGGGTGCACCGGGAGTGGGTGGGGCCTGGCCAAAGAGATCTCGAAGGGGGCCCTGTTTCTCCTTGATGGAGCTGGAGGGCCCAAGCCGGACGGGCTTCTTGGGTCGAGGGGCCACTGCTGGGGGGGAGTCCTTCCTCAGGCTGGGGGACATCATCTAGGAGGCACAGAGAAAGCACACAGGATGTGTCTTGGGGGCAAGACCATGTAATGGGGAGCAGAGGACCCAGGCCCACTGCTCCTCAACACCTTGGTCTCTCAGCAGGCAGCTCGTGGCCTGGAGGGGGCAGCTGGGCGAGGGGTCCTCACCAGTGAGGGAGAGGTGGCACCATTGATCCCAAGCTTAGCCAGAGCCTCGTGCTTGGGGTCATTTTTCTTCAGGAAATTTTTCGGGGGCCTTTTGGAAGCAAGAAGAGGTTACCGGGGTCTCCAATCCCAGAACAGCCCCACCACCTCCTCCTCCAGGGAGCCCACCTGGATGGCTGCACGGGCTCAGGTACAGGTGCTGGGCGGCTCTGATACATGCGGATGATGTTACGGATCTCCCGGCTGGGTTCTGGTCGCTGGGAGTGGGGCTTTGGCTGCTGAGAGGGGGTCTCCAAGCTGTGCACCATGACCCCCCTGCCTCCAGCCAGGCCCTGTCCACCACTAGCCCTGGCCTCCTTGACTGGCTCTGCCTCCTTGGCTGGCTCTGCCTCCTTGGCTGGCTCTGCCTCAGCCTCATTTGCAGCTTTGGCTGCACCTTGTTTCATTGACTTCCTCCCTATTGGAGGAGGAGGAGGGGGTGGAGAATCTGCACAGAGAGGAAAGACAGTGAGGCGATGTGGGCAGAGGCAGAAGCAGGATGCCCAGGATCCATTACCCGTCTCCTCCCACCACCTGCTCTCGCAGCCTCTTCTGACTCCTCTTCCTCATCTGCCTGCGGGATGTGGACCTTGGCTGGAGGCCTCACCTTCTTCACCTTGATCTGCTGCTGCCCTGTATGTGACCCACATGACCAGTGTTCACCAAGTGGCCACCAACTGGCCTGCCCACCGGGCAGCTGGACAGTGCACCAACCCGGAGGGCAGAGCGCACTCCCACCCTGACCCACCTCCCTGCACCCTCACCCATCTTCTGGAAGTAGTCTCGTTTCTGCTGGAAGCTTTTGGGTCTCTGGGGCCTGTCTTCAGTCTCCTCTGCGGGCTCCTCCTGGCAGGGAAAGGCAGTGCAGGTGCGGCCTTAGCCAGCTGAATCGCCGTGTCCACGGCGTACCCCTCCATTCCTGGGGAGCCTGGGGCCTGGCAGCCTCTTCTCCTCTTCTTCCTGCTTTCTCCCACTTCCCCACCCCCTCCACAGTCCAGCTTCCATCTCTCACCCTGAAAGTGGCTCCCACTGGCCTCACATCTTCCTCTGGCTCCTCCTCAGGGGCCGGGGCAGGGGCAGGAGGCTTCTTGGACTTGGGGGTAGTGGCTGTGGGTGGGGCCTTGGAGTCCGCCCTGGAGGCTGGGGCCTGGTGCCTCCGCTGAAGGGTCTGTTGCTCCAGGGACAGAGTCATGGCCTGGGCTGTCATCTGCTGGGCCTGGAGGGGAGGAGGTGAGACCTTGGCCTGCCCGCCGCCCCCCCCCACTCTGGGCGCCCACCACCTCACCAGGATCAGCGCCTGCTGGTTGATGAAGTTCTGCTGCTGGGTGGCCAGCTGCCTGGCTTCGAGGCTGGAAAGCACGGGCTGGGACGGCTGCGGCGGCGGCACCATCATGGCTGGGAGGCGGCACACAGGTGGTGAACTTAGTGTTGCTGGCCTCTGCCCGCTGTGACTGCTGGGCCCCTGGCAGGGCTCTCACCCCCAGTCTCAGCTGGCTTTGTTGGGAAGAGACTCCACAGCCTCCAACCTTACCTGGCATGGCAGGGACTGCGCCCATGGCTGGCACCATGGGAGCAGGTGCTGGCATCATGGCAGGCTGGTATCCAGGCATCTGCATCATCCCTGGGTACACTGAGGGAACAGGACTCCTATGGTGGTCCCTCCTGCCCCATGTGCCCCCTCCCTCCAGTCCCAGACAAACAGAAGAGCATGGGGCCCAGATGTTTGCCCAGACCACCAGGGGTCAGCCCCACTCACCCATGGGGTACCCACCCTGCTGCCTGGCACCCCCTCCCGACCACCAGGGGTCAGCCCCACTCACCCATGGGGTACCCACTCGGCTGCATGGCACCCCCTCCCTTCATGCGGCCCTGAAGGGCCCTGCTTTGCTCCAGATCCTGGAGGGACAGAAGTCACAGGTCACACGGCCAGGGCCAGGAAGCGGCGGGAGGGAGGTGCAGCCAGGTGCGAGGCCAGCAGGTACTCACGCTCATGCTGGGGGACAGGACCGGCTCGAAGACGTTGTCCAAGAAGCCATCAAGGCTCCCTGATGCCTGGGACTCCCCTGCAGATCGGGAGGTTTGTGCTGCCTGTCTGGGTAATGGGGTACCCTGTACTCATCCCCAGCCCTCCGTGAGGCCCCCAGGTGCTCCCTCCAACCTTACCTGCGTGGCTCCTGCCGGGCAGTGTTGGAGCTGCACCTGGGGGTGGTCCTGAGGGCAGCTGTGGGGCCCAGACGCTGGGGGCAGGGGGAATGTCTGCAGGGCTTCTGCGGGAGAGGGGGCTCAGCTCACTACCTTGGCCACTGGGCGGGGGCGGGGGGCCAGGGTCAAGCTGAGACAAGCTCTACATGCTGCTGAGGGACCCTCCTAGGGAGGGAGGCGGGTTAGTTGGGAGAACTGGCCTGCAGTACCAACCCCAGGGCGCGACAGGGTGACTATGGGCACCACCCCCCAGGACTGGGGTGCTGAGGTGACACCTACGAGTTTCGAGGGATGCTGGAGAAATCATGTGAGGTGATGGGGTAGCTGTGGGGGGCAGCTGGGTCCCCCAGGTCCTCCGTCTGCCCGATCAGGTCCAGCACAAAGTCGCAGCCAATTAGGTCCTGCCAGACCTCCCCGGAATGCAGTGACACCGACCAGCCTCGAGGGGGCACCTCCAGGCCTCCCCTGGGGAAGGTGAGGTGAGGATGAGGATGAAGGGGAGGAGGGATGGTGAGCAGAGACCACCACAGAGGGAGGGTCCACAGGATGTCTGAGGTGGAGGGCTGGGAACAGAGTGCACGAGCTGCCTGGAGGCCAAATAAGCTTGGTTTTTACTCCAGTGGCTCCTGGCCTCTTTGCTGACTTGTTTCATTGAGGGGCCTGCTGCTGCCCCATAATCTCTAGTCCACCTGGAATCCACAGCCTGGACCCTCCACTGACACCCCACCCCTCTGCCCCTGGGGTATGCTGCTTCCGGCCAAGAGGAGGAGGAGGAGGACAGGGAGGAGAACAGGGTCAGCGCTGGCCTCCGTCAGAAACTCCATACCTTCTCTGCAGGATCCAGCCCGCGAACTGCTCCCCCGTGGTCCAGGACTCCACCTCGGCCGAGTAGCACTCCTCTGTGGGGCCAGGAGTGGACAGGTGAAGGACAGCAGGGGTACACTCCGCAAGGAGAGCCAAAGTGGGTACAAGAGTAGCTGGGTCAGGGAGGTTAGACAAGAGCAGAGTGGACGAGGGGAGGGCAGGGCCCAAGAAGGTGGCTCTAGCCCCTGGGGACCCGCGTGGGGCCTCACCGTTGAAGGTGAACACGTCCAAAGTCATGCGTCCCCGCCGCCATCCGGCCGTCCACTCCAGCTGGGTGGGTGGGAAGGCCCGAGTGGTCCCAGGAGCCAGCTGTTCATGCTCCAGGGCACCCAGCAGCTTGTGCTGGCACAGGGCTGCCATACCCTGGGGGGCCTGGTCAGATACGAACCTGTAGGGACAGCCGAGGGCTGCTGTGGAGGTGGGTGGCCAGGGGAGCCCATCCCAGGAGCCCCCACCCCTCAGGACACTTACTTGAGCAGGGGCTTCTGCAGGGTGGACGTGGGGGGAAAGGCGCTGAGGAGCACTGCCATGAGGGCCCAGCCACGCTGGCTCTGCTGCTCGTCCGGGTTGAGCCAGAGCTGGGCCACCAGTTGGCTGAAGAGCTCGTCCCGGATCCCTGGCTGCCGCCGGCCCAGCAGCACCAGGTATGCACCCATGGCATGTTCCTGCCAGGGCAGCAGGGACCCGTCCCCCAGAAGCCGCAGCATCTGCCAGCCAAGAGATGGGCGCTGGGTAGGGCAGTGTCTCCAGGTGCTGAACCAACATCCTAGAGCCAGCGGTCAGGACTGGGGCCACCGCCCAGTCCCTCTGAATGTGTCACTCACCACCTTGTTGATGTCCAGGGCACGCTGTGGGTTCACACTGTCCAGCCGGGTCAGGGGTTTGGACAGGAGCTGTCCAGGGTGGGGCAGGGAGGGTTCCTGCAAAGAACAAGGATGACACAGTGTGCAGGCAGGAGCCATCTGTACTGACCACTAGGGGACAGTGCCTGGGAGACCACAGGAGCGGGCATCCCACAAGTGAAGCGGGTCTGGTGGCCACACCAGCTTAGAAAGGTAACATATACTAGTCTGATAGAACCTAGTGGAATCCCGAGAGTATGGCCCTTAGCCACTCCTCAAGATTGGAAGTGAAATCAGCTCTAAGACTCAACTTTCAGCCAAATACTTGGCAAGCCTATAAGGCACTCAGTAGCCAACACCTGGGAGGGCCACACACCACAGGACAGTCAGTCATATGAGATCAACAGGACAGCATCTGCAGAAGGATAAAGCTCCGAAGGGAGGAAGCGATAGACAAGAAGGATGAGTGGAAATGGGCAACACAGAGAGTGACTAGGGAGAGTGCTGTGACAGTACAGGGATTACCATTAATATCACATAACGAAACATGTATAAACTGCTGAATGAAAAACCCATTTGCTCTGTAAACTTTCACTCAAATGACAACTAAAAAGTTAATGTAAAAACAAAGTAAATAAATTAAAACAACAACAACAACAACAAAAAAAAGACATGTACTTTTCCTAGTTCTGATTGGAAAATGGAGACCCAGCCAAGCTGGCAGCTCAGAAAACATAAATAAGTACAAATAAGAAAACGAAAGGCGCCAGCAACATCCCAAGGCATCAGGGATCCCCACACGGCATCTCAGTGACCGCCCAGCCTCCCTCCTGTGCACCTGCATACCTTCCCTGCCTCCTGGTATTTAAACAAACTTGAATTTGAACCCAAGTTTATTACATTTGTCATTTCAACTCTTTGCACATACAAGTCAGCGGTGCTAATGACCATCCCTGGACTGTGTCTCCATCACTGCCGTGGGCAATAGCAGGATGGAAAAGTTCAAGATGTTTCAGAAAGGACCCAAACGTGACACTAGACACAAGCACGCATGTGCTGTCGTGAAAATGGTGCCGACAGACTTGTTCGATGCAGGGTTGCCTTCAGTTCGTAAAAAACACAACATCTACAAAAGGTAGTCAGGTGGAGCCCATCAAACAAGGCAGGCCTGTGCTTTGCACACACACTTGTCCTTTGAGTCTGACTATTCAGCCCTGCAGTGTTCCCAAGACTAAACTGAGTCACAGCCGGTATCACGCGTCATGCAGCCTGCCTCTTTATTTACACGCCAGCATAGACGTTTCCCTAGTCAATAACCATCGGTTAAAGACCTGCCTGCAATGGCAAGGTAATTCCATGGTATAACAGAGGCGTGGTGTGAACAATCTGGGTAACACAACGCTGTCAGACAATTCAGGCCCAACGGTTCTTTTCAGTGCAATTGAGCCCCATCTGCAGCCCTAATCACCAGGGCCAGCACAGCTGAGGACAAGGGAGAGGCAGCTTCCACCTGAGAAGCCGAGGGGGACAGCCAGGATGCACTCAGGGCAAGGCACCCACCTGGAAGCTGATGGAGATGAAACTGGAAAAGGGGAAACGGTCGATGTCAGGCGGGAGGGCCAGGCTGGGCCGGGCAGTGACTTCCGGAGGCATGGACTCAGTGATGCTGTCTGCCAGGGCGGGCTGGCGGCCTGGGGATGTACATGGGCAGAGACACCAGGGGGTCCAGTTGTGGCACCTGGCTCAGGTCCTATCTCCATCACTCCTCATGAGCCACCAGGCCCCTTAGGGGGTGCTAGGAGGATGTGTGATAAGTAGGGGAACCCAGAGCATCAGAGGGGCCACAGGGGACAGAGCCACACACAAAAAGGGACTCGGGGAGGGACATCTCCAACCAAGACTCACCTTCTACAGCCTTCAGCATGATGGCCAGCTCAGCTGGGATCTCCAAGCGCCCCAGGTCCTGTCAGAGGACCCAATATTCAGAGAGGGGACACAGGGACCCCATGTCTTTCACACCCTCATGACTATAAACATCCCCTCTGTAGACCAAGGATTCTGATCCTGGCATTCAAACAGAGTCCTGAGAGTGCTAGGTGGACTCCAAAGGTACTGGGGGGCTAATCAATCCCACCCACACCCTACGGGTCATGGGAGAGGGGTAGGACCCACCTGATACCCCTCGAGCAGTGGTTCAACAGGTGCATAACCCAGGAAAGAACCCCCTCTGGCTTCCCAGTCACCTACCATGCTTGGCACTTTCTCCGAGGCCCCACCACTGTGCCAGCTACACCGATGTCCAAGCTGTTGGGGAGAAGTAGGCAGAGCCAACGTTCCTATGTGGAGTCACTCTGAGTCTCCCAATGGTATCTTCCCAGCACCCTGACAGCCCAGCTGCCCCCTCCGGCCCCTGGGGTGCTGTCATGAGCAGAAGAACGAGCACAAGCCCAGAAAGATCAGCTGGAGACTGGTTCCCACCTGCCCCTGCCCCTCAGAGCCCTCACCAGCCTCAGCACTGTGGACGTCACTGCCTGTCTGCCAGGGTACCAGGAAGAGGGCAGGAAGAAGGGAAACGATGATCCCAGGGTGACAAAGTCCAGTTAGGGAGGGGCCAGAAAGGGGGGGGTAAGTATGTGAGCATTGACCTTTGAGCTGCTTTATGGCCTTTACATTACAGTCACCAGGCAAGAGAAAGGAGTAGTGGGGACAGGGAAGGATTGCAGAGGATGGGAGGATCCAACAGGCAGCGGGTGGGGTAAGAAGGCACTGGACTCCCAGGCCCCAGCCTACAATAACCAGGCAGACGAAAGCAGCAAACACTCAAGGGGCAATGGTCTCAAGGCCTTAGTCATTACATGGTTGGGCTAGGAGGGTGGACACTGCCAGACAGCCAAGAGGACATCCTGGCTTCAGCCTGTAGCCCTACCCAAATCCCGTCACCTGTAATCTCCGCCTTCTCCAGAGCAGGGGCCGGGCCACCAACAGGACGGTGTGCAGCTGTCCCAGGGCAGCCCGTCTCCGGAGGTACCGCTTCCTGGAGGCCAGGGGGAGAGGAGTCCAAATGTGCACCCCCTGCCTGATGTCTGAGTCGTCCTTCGCTAAGACGTTAATGTAAAACCAAGAACTCTTGGGTATTTAGCAGAAGCGGGATGTAAAGAACAGAATATTATAGGAAAAGAGCAGGCAAATTTAGAAGCTGTTTACTATAGAGCTTCAGAGTCGGCACTGGAGCCAGCCTGCTCCCAAAAAAATCGAGTCGATTCTGACTCCTGGTGATTTACGTATTACAAAGTAGATTTGCCACAGGGAGGTTTTTGGGGTTTGGGTTTTTTGTTTTCTGTAATCTTTACTTCTGTGGCACCACCAGGTAGTTTTGAACCACCAACCTTTAAATTAGGAGACAATAGCAAACTCTTTGCACCACCCAGGGACCACATCATTCATTCCAATTGGTCATTGTTGTCTTTGATAAATGACTGTACTTCTCTGGATTTTCATTATCTGTAAAATGGGGCTCCTCATCAGAGCTGTCTCATGATAAAATTGAAGTAATAGGTATGAATGTTTATAATAGAGTCTGTCATATTATTTAATAAGAAGTCAGGTGGAATGTCTAAAAATTAAAATAAAACACCACTGAAAATCTAATAGGAGATCCTGGAAGTGGTAATGTTCAAATATTTGAGGATTTTCCAGATATAAAACTTGACTGCTCAATGAAAATGTTATGAACAGGATATATATATATATATATATATATCCTTAATAAAACCACAGTACTCCTGACATAAAGAAAAATTAGTTGCACAATTACAGGAAAAGGCAGGTTACTTTCAAAAGAATAAAAATTTTACTGAGGCAACTTTTCATCAGCAGAAAGACAGAACCTAAGACAATGAGCAATATCTTCAAAGCAATGAGGGAAATAAATTAGTAATTCAGAATTTTATACCCAGCTAAACTAGGATTCAGGAAGGGTGGTGAAAAGGCATTCTCAAAGACTGTGAGTCAGAATCAACTCAATGCCAGTCAGTTGGACTTTTTGTCTTGTTTTGTTTTGCTTTAATGCTTGTTGGAAGAACCAGTCAAGAGTGTACTTCAATAAGAGAAACTACTGTCTCTAAATAAGAAGTAATTAAAAGTGTACATGTATTTTGTTGTTGTTGATTGCCACTGAGTTAAGCACGACTCATAGCCACCCTAGGAAAAAGAGACCTGAAGCCTTTCAATAACTATCGCTTCTCAAAGTTCATAGAGCGTCCAGAGGCATGTTGTTTAGGAAGTGGATGCCACTCCTGCTTCTAAATATATGTATACAGAAGAGATGTGGCGGCTTAGTGTTAAAGAGATGGTTTGTCAACCCAAGTGCACGCAGTTTCAATCCACTGACAGCTCTGTGGAAGAAAGAGAAGCACTCTTCTGTGAGACTGAAAACCCACTGGAGGGTCAGCTGTGACTCAGTTCTTATGGTGATACACAACAACAACAAAAGCAAAATTAACAACAAAATACACATTTGTATTGCTGTATTTTGTTACACAAAACATGCATGTTTTAGGCTTCTTTGTATATAGTTGTCTCCCTCCCTTACTGTGTGAGATGTTTTTGTAAGCATGCTATATTAATTTAAGAAAAGTTAATTTACCATCAATAAATGACTGAATTGAGACATGTGGTACATTCATCTGATAGAATATTATACAGTATTCAGAAGCAATGATTTTGAAAAATACGGTATAATATGGGAAAGGGAGTATTATGCTGAGTTAACTAATTCAGGCTCATAAGGGTAGACAAATACCGCCTAAGACAATCATTGTAGAAACACAAGTATAACTAGTAAGATGTGTATAAATGTCCACAGAGGGAAGAGGAGGGGGTGAGGGTTGAGTGGGGGATGAGGAAGAAATCATGGGGTTGCAGAGTTTGGCGGGTGGAGGGAGGGGTGAAGGAATTAGGAAAGACCCAGTGGGGATCTGAAAAGACGGGGTAATAGAGGGAATAGATCAATGATAATTTTATAAGACAAAATGTATGGGAATGATTGTGTGGAACACAGTGTGAATGAAAATAAAGACTACCAAAAATTTTTTAAAAGTATTAAATTTTAAAAAAAGAAAAGCTGATTTAATTATGGGTAGCTCTGGTGTTAATTTTAAAAATTAAGAGGTTGATTGGACCCCGTTAATGATATAGACCCATTGTAATTAATATAAAAATGTAGATGAATGATTGTGCAACAATGAATGAATTTTTTTAAAGAGAAACACAAACTTGGAGGGGGGGGGAGGGAGGGAGGGAGGAAAATGTGTGACAATGAGTGAATAGAAATCCCAAGTTTCCTAGGACGCTCTGGAGGCCTAGTGGCAAGAAGCTGCACTGCAATCCCAAAGCTATGTGGTTCGAATCCACCAGATGCTTTGTTGGAGAACGAGGAGAAATCTCCTCCTGTACCAGTCAGATCTGATTTGACAGTACACACACACAAAATAATAAATGATTTTTTAAAAAAGAAATTCAAGTTTTCTGTAAACTTTCATTCAAATCACAATAAAAAAATTAAATATGTATATGAATGAAAAAATAAAATTGTAATTACAATATTATAAAGTAAAAGGCAGATGAATGAGCAAATGAAAAACTAATATAATTTGTGAACTTTCACTCAAATTTTAAAAAATCAACTAAACTTTTAACATGGAACGAGAATGAGCACGTTATTTGCATAAAGATATGGTACGGCATCAATTTTACTATTTTGAAGGGTCTAAATCTTACTCTCCAGCCACCATGGGAGTCACCGTGCCCGCCCCTGTCACCCTGTCACAGTGCAGATGGTCAACCAGAGTTGTCACAGGTGTGAAGACAAGCTGTGAAGGGTGAGTAGGTGTGAACTGGAGGGAAAGAGCTAAGAAGACACACAGAGACAGGAGCAACTCATGTGCAAAGACCAGGAGGTGACAAGGAGCGTGATACGTTTAAAGAACTGAGAGAATCCAAAGTAGCTAAAGGGTTTGGAAAGTCTGCTTCAATAGAATGGAGAGAAGTAAAGAGAGCCTCGTCCGCCAGAGTAGTTACAGAGTCCACTTTCTGCTTTCTAAGAGTCTTGCTGCTTACTTCTCCATAATTTTTGGACTCATGTACTTATAACTTGTTAGTCAAATTTGTGTCTTCTAGGTTGCAACACCCCCATGATACATCTTCAAGGATATGAACATGTACAGCCAAGCACAATCAATAAGAGTGCATCTAAATTCCAAAATCAATCTCCATAATAGTCTATGTGTTTCCTACTGCCAAAGGGGCCCTTTAGAGTAGTGAGAGAAGATCTTCACCCTGAAACCCACAGCGTCCCTTTTCAGCAGGAAGTAGCTAAGAGAATACGCCATCCCCTTTTCCTTATGAATCAGGGTGAAGTCTCTCTCAGGGAGGAGTGATAGGGAATGGCAAAGGACACACTGACAAAGAAGATTAATCAGAACTGGCTTTGACAAGCACTGTGGCATTTGGACAAGAACAAACTGGGAGGAGGGTAGAGAGAATAGTGCAACAATGAATGAATGGAAACCCAAAATCTCTGTAAATGTTTATGAAAATTAATAAAATATAATTATAGGAAAAAAAAAAGAGTCTTGCTGCAAAGTGGAAAACAGAGCATCTAAGGAATCAAGGTTACCAGTGTGGGGAGCCTGGAAGGTCATGAGTTTCTCATGACTAGGGGTATGTAAGCACAGTTTGTAAGAACAGAGAGAGGCTGAGCACCACAGGGGGCAGGTAGACTCTTCTGACACCCCGTCTCTTCTGGACCCCGCCCCGCCACCTTCAGGAGGAGCCCCAACCTCACCCCCTTGACCCTCGCTGGCCCCCCACTCCTGGCGGCTGCCGACCTGGCCTGGAGTCCCCGCACGCGGGCCTGCATCCGGGGCAGGAGGCGGAGGCGCTGGCGGGAGATACAGGCGCGGAGCCCGCGGTGCAGCGCCAGCAGGGCCTGGGCGCGCTGCTCTGCCCGCTGCTTCTCCAGCTGCTGCCAGCCTGGTTCCTGCAGCAGCACCTGTGGTGGGCAGAGCAATGGGGTGCCCTCTGCCCGCCCTCCTCCACCTCCCCGCTGCCCAGGAGATGGCCTCCGAAGCTGGAGTTGGTTCCAGCTTGTCCCAGTACCTACCTGCCTGTCCATGATGTGCCCTGTCACTCACAGACACACACACACACACACACACACACACACACACACACACCTTGGAGTCTCCCAGGTGATAGAGGGGCGACTCGGCTCCCAGCACGTGGCTCAGGACTGCGCTGCACCTCTCCCTGTCGCTGCACCTCTCCCTGTCGGAGGGCTCTGCCTGCACCCCCTCGCCCAGGGTCTGGAACCTGCTCAGGGGGGAAGCAGGGTTCATGCTGGCAACTGGACACCCTGGGCCCCAAGCGGTTCACAGTCTGTAAGTCACTCAGCAAGGGTTACGTGCTTGGCTGCTAATGGAAAGGCCTGGACCCAAGGTTGTTAGAAGGGAGAACGGCACAGCAGCATGGCAGCCTGGCAGCCTGCTTCCTGAAGATTACAGCCTCGGAGACACTACGGGGCGGCCTATCCTACAGGGCGGCGAGGAGGCTTGACTCAACAGCTGAGTGTTTTTAAGGCACTCAACAGTGGGGATGAAGAGCCTACAATGTGCAAACCCTCAGCACCTGGGCTCCCAGGACGCAGGCGGGGAGGGGGAAACAGGCTCTGAGAATACTGTGCCAAGAGAAACGCGATCACGGGTGACCCGCATCAGGCCTGGTCACCGCGATGTGTCATAGCACATCCTGAACTCCCTCGTTAGGATCCACAGCCGAGCCTCCGTGGACTTTCAGAGGCTGTAAGTCACACAGGAGATTGCCCTTTTCTCCTGTGGAGCAGCTGGTGGACTCGAACCTCTTGCTTTTGTGTTGGCAGCACAACTTCTTATAAAAGCTCCCAGGAGGAAGGAGAGAGGGTGGAAAGAGAGAGGTGGAGGGATGAGAAGGAGAAAGGATTTGAGAGTAGGGAAGGGAATAAGGTGGAGTGACAAGAGAATGGGGTCCCTGGTAAGTGGGTCCATGTTCACTGAAGGGACCCCAGGCTTCATGGTCACTGCAGTGGTCCCTCCTGCTAGGTCTGACCCCAAGGCACCTGCACCCCTGACCCCTCAGCCTGGGTCTCTACCTGGCCAAGAAGGCCTGGAAAAGCACGCGCACAGGGAAGTTCGCACCGCGTGTGCGAATGGCCTCCAGGATGTCCGCCTGGCGCAGCTGCTCAGCCACATGTCCTACGTCAAAGAGGCCTGGGAGCTGGGCAGGGGACGCAGGCCAGGAGAGCGGGGTCAAGGATGTGGGTAGGACACAAAGATGGGCATCAAGGGGTGAGTGACCAGGGCAAGGCAGGGGTGGGAGATCTTGGAAAGGAACTGTGCCCTCCCCGACTTGGGACCAGACTGGGAAGCTCACCTTGCTTGGGTTGGGGTTAATGCACTGGATAAAGTAGACATGGTCCCTGGAGGATGGAAGGGGTCACGTGGGCCCAGGCAGCCCCCATCCAAATACCAGGCTTTGGGAATACTGTGCTCACCTGTGCAACCGGGCTATGAGGTCCTCTAATGACTGCTGGAAGCGTGAGGCCAGGGTAGGGCCAGCTCGGCCTCCGTCAGGCCAGGGCTCCACTTCCTTGAACAGACTGCCCACCAGCTATGGGCGAGAGAGGGCTGAGCCCACTGTCCGGTGTGCTCCTCCTCACAGCCCCCAGGACTAGTCCAAGCGAACAGGGGCTTGTGAGTGAGCCTACTGGGCAACGGTAGGAGTGTTCAGTGGATGAGGACAGTGTGGAGACAGAGTGTGGAGTGACTGGGGTCCAGGGAGGACTGTCAGGTCACCTGGAGCTGGCTCTGGCCAAGCATGTTCACCACGGCAGGGTCCAGATGATCCCGGTTTCTGCTTAAAAACTTATGAACCTGCAGGACACAGTGTGGGGACAGGAGGGAGGCAGGTAAAGAAGGCTGAGTGTAGGAGGGGCTTTCTTGTCTGAAAGTCCAGCCTTCCACACCGAGGCCACCACGTACCCTGCCCCTCTGTGCACCCTTGGGTCTATTACTGGACCTTCAGTCTGCTCCTTGTCAACACTACTCTTCCAATTGCTGGTGCTTGGGTAGGGCTGGCAGCTAGGGGCAAATGACCAAGCCCTGGGGGAACTCCCCTCACCCAGTCCTCTCACCTGTCCAGTGACTCTGCTTAGGGAGGAAGGGAAGCAGTGCCACATCACCTCAGGTATAGGTGACAGGTACCTGGTATGTGACGGTCCCAGCATAATGCTGCACCGTGAAGATGGGCAGGGGCAGCTGGGGCTTGGCGTAGCACGGGTGGCCGCCATGGTGGTAGTGGCATTTCTGGAGGAAGGTGTGGTCAGTGGCCTGAAGGACAGACACATCCCCTCAGGCCTCTGCTCTGCTGTTCCCTCCCTGGACCAGCTTCCCTTCCAGGGCTCCAAGTATCATATTGTTGTTATGTCCTGTCGAGTCACCTGTGACTCTTAGCAACCCTAAACCCTGCTCTATCACTCTCCAGTCTTCTTGTCTCTGACACACCTATTCCCACTGCCCCAGTGACTGAATCAATCCATCTCATTGAGGGTCTTCCTCTCCTGCGCTGTCCCTCCACCCTCCGAAGCATGCTGTCCCTCTCCAAGGACTGATCCCGCCTTGTAACATGTCCAAAGTATGTCAGATGGAGCTTCAGAATCCTTGCCTCCAAGGAGCAGCCTGGTTTCACCCTCTCTAGGATGAACTTGTTTGTTCTCCTAGCAGTCCATGGTATATTCAATACTCTTCTCCAGCACCACAGCTCAAAGGCATCAACTCTCCTTTTATCATCCCTAGTCTTGTCCAGCTCTCTGATGTATAGCAAATAATTGCAAAGACCACGGCCTGTATCAGGCACACCTTAGTTTCCAGACTGACATCGTTGCTCTTCAGTACTTTGGAGAGGTCTCTAATAGCAGACTTTTCCAATGCAATTCTTCTTTTAATTTCCTGGCTGCTGGTACCAAGAGTGTTGATTGCAGAGCCAAGCAAACTGAAGCTGTCAACAATCTCAATCTTCACCATCTATCATGTTGCTGCCAATCAGCCGAGTGGAGAGAATCTTTGTTTTCTTGATATTGAGCTTCAATCCATATTGAAGGCTGCAGTCCTTGACCTTCTGCAGTAAGCGTTTCAGGTCCTCCTAAGTTACAGCAAGCAGTGTTATGTCATCTGCATAATGCAGATTGTTGATGCGTCTACCTCCAACCCTGATGTCACACTTCTCATAGAGCCCAGCCTCCCAGATAATTCGTTCTGCATATAGATTGAAAAGGTATGGGGATAGCATATACCCTTCCCAGTTTTGAACCATGCAGTGTTTCCTTGCTCTGTTCTGACAGCTGTCTCCTGGTCCAAGTATTTTAATATAAAGTGAATATTTTGGGGGGTTTTTTTCCCCTTAAAAAAATTACTCTTCTCAGAAAAAGTCACTTTGTCTGTCTGTCCTCACAAAGGGCACACTCTCTCCCTCAACAGCTTTGTTTTGAACACCCAGGTTCTACTTGAGGCAGACACCGTGACTCAGACCCAGAAGCCACCTAACTTAGCTGGGCTTGGTGGCTTGTAGGGGATCCCCAGACAAAGCAGTTAAAAGACGGGAACCTTGTTGCCTTACATCAGGCTGGCTCTGAGCTGTCTGCACACACTTTGCCATTTAATGGTTAAAACACCACTACCACCCACTAAAAAGAATAATTCTAACAAGGCCAACTAAAAATTTTATTTTTATTTTTTTTAAAAAAAAAATTTTAAAAAAATGATAAAAAAGCCCTCTAAAAATAAAAAAGCACACTGCCATTGAGTAGATTCCACTCAGTTACCCCATATGTGAGAATGGACCTGAATGAAGTATCTTTGTCACAAAAGGACAAATACTGCATAACAGTACTGTTATACAATAGGACAGACATGTGGGAGGGTTGAGGAGAGAATGTAAAAAGAGTGGATAGGTAAGGAACACTCCAGTAGATCAGATGAGGGGAAGAACTGTCCGAAAGGAATATATGATTAGGCATTATGTTTATGGTAACAATCTGGAAAAAGGGGTGTATTGTGGGAGAGGGCTGGAGGGGAAGGGAAGAAAATGTGCAATCATGAAAAAAAAGTTTTGTGTCTTAATAAACCAATAAAACCAGTCTTTATAAGCAAGTCTTTCAAAGATCACTAAGATCTCTGGAGGCTGCTCAGAGGTTATCTTATTAACAGTACGAGACCTTAACAGACCTGCCTGAGGGTTACATGAGACACTCTGCTGACATGGGACACAATATGTCAGTTCTAATCCACCAGCAGCTTCTAGGGGGGAAAAGATGAGCAGTCCCCTCCCATAAAGATTTGCAGCCTCAGCAATCCTACAGGGGGGTCACTAAGGAGTCGGAACGGTCTTGATGGAAGGGTAACGTCAAACGTGTGGTGACATTTACCCTTGTGTGAAATCGACCTTCAGCCGAACAACAGACAGGCCAATGAAGTGAGTCCAAGCTGAGGAGGAAACGCTCTGTAGAACAACCAACTCTAGGAGATCGAACGGGCAGCATTTCCCCAAAACTCAGAAGGCAGGAAAAGGAGGACTAGGGGAGAGTGAGCTGAGGGGATTGTGACCAACTTTACAAACCAAAATGTGCATAAACCGGTGACTGTAATGCAGATACTCTCTGTAAACATCCACCCCAACCACAGTTCCTCAAAAAAGACTCTAGAGGAGCTCTGGTGGCCTAGTCGGTCACTACAGTTGCTGCTCAGCTAACCGCGCAGAACACTTTAAATCACTGAGCCGTAGCGATGCTGCCCAGCCCCGGAAAACAACACTGAGTGACTCTCTGGACCATCAGGGATGCCTGTGGAAAATTTTAGCAAAGTTTCAAGAATCGCGAAAATCAGTGATTTACAAATGAACACACTGTGCTATACAGAAAGGATTTTGTGTATGTCTGAGTAACCAAATTAGTAAGAGACTCCAGATTGGACAGTTAACAGATTCATTTTGCGAAGTGATTGGCTGGAGGTGTGAGGTGACCCAGAGGTGATGCAGAAGAAAGGCCTGGTCACCTACTGCTGAGAAATCAGTCGGTGAAAGCCCTGTGGAGAGTACACACATGGAGTGCACGTAGGTGGAGCACACACATGGAGCACTCCTGTGGCGTGCACACACGTGGAGCACACCCCCTGTGGAGCACTCCTGTGGCATGCACACACGTGGAGCACACATGGAGCACTCCTGTGGCGTGCACACACGGAGCACTGCTGTGGTGTGCACACACGTGGAGCACACATGGAGCACTCCTGTGGCGTGCACACACGGAGCACTCCTGTGGTGTGCACACACGTGGAGCACACACAGAGAACTCCTGTGGTGTGCACACATGTGGAGCACACCCCCTGTGGAGCACTCCTCCTGTGGCATGTACACACGTGGAGCACACACGGAGCACTCCTGTGGTGTGCACACACGTGGAGCACACATGGAGCACTCCTGTGGCGTGCACACACGGGGCACTCCTGTGGTGTGCACACACGTGGAGCACACCCCCTGTGGAGCACTCCTCCTGTGGCGTGCACACACGTGGAGCACACACGGAGCACTCCTGTGGCATGCACACACGTGGAGCACACACGGAGAACTCCTGTGGCGTGCACACACGTGGAGCACACACGGAGAACTCCTGTGGCGTGCACACACGTGGAGCACACACGGAGCACTCCTGTGGCGTGCACACATGTGGAGCACACACGGAGCACTCCTGTGGCGTGCACACACGTGGAGCACACATGGAGCACTCCTGTGGCATGCACACAGGTGGAGCACACACAGAGAACTCCTGTGGTGTGCACACACGTGGAGTACACCCCCTGTGGAGCACTCCTCCTGTGGCGTGCACACACGTGGAGCACACATGGAGCACTCCTGTGGCATGCACACATGTGGAGCACACCCCCTGTGGAGTTGCTCTGACGCACACGGGCCACTGGAGGCTGTTGAATGAAGTTAATAAATGACATAGTGAAATCATGTGTGTTTGACAGCTTCTGGTAAAGAATTCCAACATCTTCCAATGTCAACATTTAACTAGAAAATCTAATTGAAGAGTCATCTTCCATTCAGGGTCATAGTATATTTATCTTATACAGAAACTCCTGCTCTGCTTGGTCCCAACACAACAGAAACTCATCTCCTCCACTTCCAGGGGAGCCCAAGCCCCGCATGCCAGCCTACAGGACGCACGCTTCATGTGATATATATCTGTGTCTGGGCTTTGAGCTTTTGTTTGTTTCTGTGTTTTAATTAGCCTCTCTCGTGTTATCCCTGAAGGAAGCTCTTGTGGTCTAGGAGCAAGTACCTGGGCTGCCAATCCAAAGGTCTGAGCCTACTAGGAAAGCTCTGGTGGTCTAATGGTGAAGAATTGAGCTGCCAACCCAAAGACATGAGGTTCAAATCCACCAGCAGCTCTGAGGGAGAAGGATGGGCAGTCCCCTCCTGTGTGATAAAATGTCTCTGAAAACCCACTGCAGGGTCCACAATGGGTGGATTCTGACTCAATGGGACATAGCAAGTGGCTCTGCAAGAGAAAGATGGGCAATCTCCTTCTGTATGATTTACAGCCTCTGACAACCTGCTGGACGGTCAACTGTGAGTCAACAGTTATTATGTGGTCGAGCTGTGGTGCTGGAGAAGAGTATTGAATGTACCCTGGACTGCCAAGAAAACAAACAGATTCATCCTAGAGAGGGTTAAACCAGGCTGCTCCTTGGAGGCAAAGATTCTGGGGCTTCGTCTGACATACTTTGGACATGTTGCAAGCAGAGACAGATCTTTGGAGAGGGACATCATGCTGGGTAGGGTGGAGGGACAGCACAGGAGGGGAAGACCCTCTATGAGGTGGATTGATTCAGTGACTGGGGTAATCGGGATGGGTGTGTCAGAGGCCATGCGATTGGCACAGGACAGAGCAGGGTTTAGGGCTGTTGTACATAGGGTTGCTATGAGACGCAAACGACTCCACGGCACATAACAACAACAACAACGAGATGGTACAAAGTAACTTCTGCTCTCCCTGAGTCCTGTGCTGGGTCACTTTCACTTACAGTTCTGGCATGCATAGTCATCCATTCCTCCAATAAACATTCAGACTTTCTCACATAGGGCAGAGGTCTCAGCTAGTCTTAGACAAGGAGGCAGCTCTAATGGAGCTGGAAGAAAGAGTGAGTTAGGGGAGCTCTGGTGGCCTAGTGGCAAGGAGCTGCAACTACAATCCCAGAGGCGCACGGTTCGAATCCACCAGATGCTCTGCCAGAAAAGGAGGGACAGTCTCCTCCTGTACCAGTCAGATCTGATTTGACAGTACACGCACACAAAAATAAAAAAAAAAAGAGTGAATTAAAGTGTCCAGAGTAACCATAGCTGACCCTCCAGTGAGTTCATTCTCTCAGGCTCATGAGAGAAGATTGCCCATCCTTCTCCCCCGGAGCAGCTGATGGATTCAAACTGTATGCCTTTGGGATTGCAGTGCGGCTTCTTGCCACTAAGCCACCAGAGCTCCATGCCTGTGGCTAGCTGTGCTACCAAATACAAGGGGGGAGGATGCTGTAACAGTGACAGTGACCAGTAGAAAAGCAGGTGGAATGGATGCACCCCTGTCTTGAGTCACTCCCCCTCCTGGCTGGAGGCCTGCACTGCACCTGGCCACCTTTAAGAGGCATCCATCCCAGGACAGCCCTAGACATCAGGTACCATCAGGTACCAGAGACGCTGGGGCCAGACTTTGTCCCAGTTCTACGGGAGTCTAGGGCCGTCTCTCCTTAGATGCTGCCCTCCTGAACTGTGTGAAAGAATTTCTGGGTCTTATAACCTTGTTGCCATCCTGGAAGGCCCTACTGGCCATCCTTCCCCCACCACTTGGGGGTCACTGCCCCTGGCCCTCACCTGGGACAGCCATGTCTGGGCATCCAGGATACTCAGCAGGCTGTGGGGTTGGTCTACGAGGAGGTCCAGGCAAGACACCCGTGGAGCCTGGGAGATGGGCACCCAGGACAGCGACTCCTGTCGACACTCCTCCTGAAACAGCCAGCACTTGGCCTTGACCGAGCTGTCCACACTTGTGGGTCCCCATTGGAAAGGGAGCAGGGGCGAGGCTCCCATTTTACAGATGAGCAAATGGAGGTCCAGAAGGATACCCACCCACAGCAACAGGGCTTCAGAAGAGAGCTCTCAGCCCCGTGCTTCCTTCCCCAAGAAGGGCCTGTTTTCCAGGCAGCAGTGCCCCCTCCCACCTACCCCACCCAGCCGCCCGTCGCACCTCCTCCTGGGCCAGTAGCATCTGGCTGGAGAAGACCTGCAGGCGCTCACTGGCCAGGTTGCTGCAGAGCTGCTCAAGGCTGTTCACCTGCAGTGCCTGAGGACACACGGAAAGTGGGGTGAGAACACGGAGGACCTGGGGCTGGGCCTGGGGCAGGAGACAGGCACGAGGCCTCATGCCCTCATTACCCTCCTCCAGGGGCTGCCACACTCTTGTCCTGGGGTTTGCGGAGAGGATGCTGCACCTACCCCAGCTGCCCTCTTACAGCCCACACCCTGCCTGATTCTTGGGCACAGCTGAGATGTTGAACTCTGGTTATGGGCGTCCATGGCCCGGAAAGCCCCTTTCCCTCCTCCCTAGCTCACTCTCAGTATCCCTCCTTCTTAGAAGCAGGACTCCAGACCACCTCCTCCAGGAAGCCTTCCAGCAATCCTCTTTCCCCTGACATTCCAGATCCTTCCAACAGGCTCTCCTTTGCAAACAAGCCCCATGAACCCTCACTTGAGGCAGCTTTGTAAAGAGTTTTGGCCCCTCTAAGACACAAGCGCGCACACATGCCTGTCCCCTCCCTCTTCAGGCAGTGCCAACGGCCACCAAGGACACACTGTGGAGAGCAGGGCAGGGAAAGAAGTGGTGACAGTGCCTATCCAGGGCCACCTCCTCTCTCTCCAGCCCCTCCCTCATCCCTGGCCTGAGCTGGTGTGACTTGGAAAGGAGCACGTGGGAGGTTAGGGCACCTCCCCTCCTCCACTCCTCTCCCCCGTGTGTGGAAGGTGGGGCTGGGGGGTCCGTCTTCTGTAATATCAGTCAGGAGGAAGTCTCTAGAGGCCATGCCAAGGTGGACACTAGGGGACTACTTCTCCCCCAGAAGCAGGGGATCAGCCCTTGGCTGCACCATCTCATCAGAGCCTTCCACTGCTCAAGAGATAGGCCCTAGCGTGACCTCACTCTATAGACGGGCACACGGGACCAGAGAGAGGTTCATTAACTTGTCCAAGACAGGAGTTCTGAGGCACCCAGAGGCCCTGCCCCCACCTGCGGTGCTGGGGAGGACAGCAGGGGCTGAGGTGGGGGGCTCAGGGTGGGCTCCCGCCCTCATCAGAGAAGCTACCGGGGTCCTGATGGCCCAGGCCTTAGAGAAGGAAGCAGGGTGCAGGCTTAGAGATAAATTCAGGCACAGGATGGGACCAGCCATCTCTGCAATTTTGAGCTGGTGGTGAGAGGGGAACCCCAAGCTCCCCAGAGGGGGCCTGCTCTGCCCTCTCCACACCTGCATCACCCTCCCCTGTCCTGACATTAACCCAGCTGTTCCCAGATGGGTGCACTAGGACCCACTAGATAGATATTCATGAAGCAGTGAACAGCCATGGGTGTCCCCACAGGAGTGCTTCTGAGGTCCTCCAAATACAAGAGAAGGAGCTCCCCCATCCCATGACTGGGGCCCACCCAGGGCTGACCTCAAAGCTGTAGACGTCCACCACAGTGACGGTGCCCACGCTGCCGCCCTCCCTGGGTGGTGCCAGCTTCACATTAATCCTCCTCAGGAGCCAATCAAAGAGCCGCGAGTACAGGGCCTTGGCCAGGGTGTCCCTGTGGGCATGGTGAGTGAGTGGTCACAGGGACACAGCTCCAAGGCTCTGTCCACTCCTGCCTGCCCAGCCAGACCGTCACCTGGCATCAAGGGCGCTCTCCACAGGCAGCGACCTCGAAACCTGGCCATAGGGCGTCTCCTGGAGGGCAGAGCGGGAGCAGTGAGTCCAGTCTTAGGCACACGTGGCCTGTCACCAAGCCTCCTGGCCGAGACCACCTGCCCACACACCCTCAGGCTCACCAGGACCCTCTGGGTGACAGCCCTCTCCAGGCGACCGGGCGGCACTCGAAGCAGCCGGGCTGCTGTGTGGACTTCTGCCCAGCCGGACAGGGCAGCCACCTGCCGGGACTCCCGCTGGACAGAGAAAAGGAAGGGATGGCAGCACAGGGTGAGAGCCAGGCAGGGACGAGCCAGGGTTTCTGGTCCAAGCAGGGCAGTTTCCTTCCCTGATACTCAGGTTGGCCAGCCCCGAGGTTTGGTCCTGATTTCATCTCTTTACTAGCTGGTTAGCTTTGAAAACCTTCTTTCCCCGAGGCCCCGTCTCTCTTGCTGCAGATGAAGCAGCAATGGGCACGTTGCAGTGCTATCTTGAGAACTAAAGAGAGGACGGACATACGTGGTCTTCACAATGCCAGGCCTTGGGGGGGGGGCGGGCAGGCGTTTGGACAGTCAGGAGATGCAGCTGTCAGTTTTTGCAGTCTTTTTTTACAATAATCATTCTTTTTTTTTAAAATTTTATTTTTTTAAATAATTTTAATGAACATTTACAGAGAATTTGGATTTCCATTCATTCATTGCTGCACTTCTCTCCCCGCCCAGCCCTCTCCCCCCGCCCCCCAGTTCGCTCCTCTCTTTCAAAAGTAAAAGTAAGACTCCCTCCCTGGTACACAATCCCCCCGGGCCCCTCCCACCGCCCCAAGTACATTCCACTATGCAAGCTTAATTGTAGACTCTTGTGAGTTTCTGCAGTCTTTTCGATGAGGACTGTAAGCCTAGCAGAGATTGTGAGGATAGGGTGGAGCTGGCAAGGTTTCCTTCTGCTACGTTTCAGAGCTGACTCAGTGACACCTGACAACTCCTAACAACGGGGACCAGGGTGGCTCTGAAGCCCAGAGGAGCCCAGCTGCACCCCTTGCCTGCTCCTGTGTGTAAACAAGCCCCTGCCAAGCCAGCAACACACATCTGCACCCCCACAGCACGCATCTGCCCTTTCCACACCTGCCCCACCCTCCCCAGCCCTGGCACGAGCTCAGCTGTTGTCAGATGGACACACTAGGACCCACTAGATATTCAGGAAGTGGGTAAGCAGCCACGAGCGTCCCCACAAGGAGCGCTCCTGAGGTCCTCCAAACACAAGATAAGGAGCTCCCCCAGCCCGTGACTGGGGTCCACCCAGGGGTGACCTCAAAGCTGTAGACGTCCACCACAGTGACAGTGCCCACAGGGGAGCCCACCTCTAAAGAGGAGAAGCAGATATTGCCCAGCTGCAGGATGGTGGCCAGTACGGCCCAGACGGCGGCCATCTCCTCGGGGCTCACGTCCAAAGCCTGCAGGGCTTTCACCAGCCCCTCAAAGTCCTGAGTGTCCTCTTTGCCGGGGAACCTACAGGCTCGGCCCTGTGGAGAGCAGCAGAGTGTAGCCAGGGCCCGACTCCCTGTCCCTGCTCTGCCGAGCTCAGTACCAATCCTTCTCCCAGCAGCTCCCAGGGAGCTCTGTGGGCCCACCTGGTTCAGGTAGTAGTATGTCTCTGGTCCTTGCAGGGAGAGCCTCTCCTGTTCTGCGGGGTCTAGTCCCGCCAGCATCTCATAGAAGACGTGGAAGCTCCTCTCGTTCGGGGCCTTTGGGAGACGGGCTGGCTTAGGGGGAGCAGTGGCCTGGCCTTGTGATTCGGAGGAGGCAAGCTTGGGGGAGTCAGCAGCCAGAAGCCCCCATCTCCTTCTTACTTCAGAGCTGCTGGGGGTGGAGCAGGGCGGGTCTTACCTGAAACACCACTCTGGAGGACTCTAGCAGATAGTGTGACACAGAGGCTCCGAGGATGACTCCGCTGTGGGCACAGGAGACCAGGTGGGGGTGCCCAGGCCATGTCCCACCAGGAACCCCACTCAGGAGGCATCCACCTGGACCCCCATTGCTCACCACTGCAGGTAGAGGCATGAAACTTGGCCGAAGCGGCTGGCATTGGCATTGAGGATGGTCTTGGCATGGCCAAAGCTGCTAAGCACAGGCAGCATGGCCTCCAGCTGTGGGCAAGGTTTTCTCATGTGCCCCTAGGAGTGGCCAGGGTGCCCTAAATGGGTGTCCTGTGCCAGCTGAAGGTATTCCATGTGCTAGGTCGGTGGAGAGGTGAGTCCCATCAAGACAGCCCCTCACCCCCCTGTTGGAAGCCCAAAGTGACCTTCCTCCAAAGTACAGCTAATTCTAGATCCTAGAGAAATGTCACTATGTGGCTCAGGTGGTGACTCCGACCCACCCTTACCTGGCATCCCTGGCCCTTCTCCTGTCCAAGGCTGCTGAGGAACCGCACGACCTTTCTAGCAGCTTCGGTCTTCCCTGAACCACTGTGCCCACTGCAGGAGGGAGGGGCTACACATAGAGTCGGAAACCAGTGGGGTGACAGCTGGGGGCCCATGAGGACCACCCAATGAGTTCATGGAGCAGGGCAAAGCCCTTGAAAGTTCTGCCTACCCTAGAAGAGGCCCCAGCAATATGGAAAAGAGCCTGGAGGCCAGATGCCTCATCCAGGGGCACACATGGGTAACAGTAGCCCTCACTCAGGCCACTGTGGTCACCCTGCAGCATAGCAGACCAGAACACAGATGCAGAAATTGGGTCCCTCCAACTACCAGCTTGCAATGTGACCTGCGGGCACCTGTGAGTTTCTGAAAGCCACAGTGCCTTGATTGACTGTCTGCAAGGAGTTTAGAGTGCTAACTACTTCAAGAACACTCAGTGGGAAGCTAACTGAAACCAGCTTCCTAGGGAAGCACGTGGATGTGTCCCCAAGAAAAACAGGGTGCTTCCATGAACCCTCATAAGACCCAGAAGAGCAGCTGTGGGAAACTAAGGTCCTTGAGAGCTTGTAGAAAATAGATTTACAAGAAGCTGTTGTAAATAGAGATAAGCTTTTTGTATGCTTGCTAGAACTGAGTAAATAATTAAAAGCCCTGTTTCCTGGTTATCCAAGGACTCATTCCTTTCTAGCCCCAGGGATAATTGTTAGGTAGACTTTTGGGTCTTTGAGATAATTTTTTGTTGTGTAGCAAGAAGTCTAGCTTTTCTGATAGTAATGGAATGCTTGTATTCTCCATATGTTGTTGTTGTCATTTGCGACTCATAGTGACCCTATGTACAACAGCCCTAAACCGTGCTCTATCCTGTGCCAATCTCACTGCCTCTGACACACCCATCCCGATTACCCCAGTCACTGAATCAATCCACCTCATAGAGGGCCTTCCCCTCCTGCGCTGTCCCTCCACCCTACCAAGCATGATGTCACCCTCCAAAGACCTGTCCCTCCTTACAACATGTCCAAAGTATGTCAGACGAAGCCCCAGAATCCTTGCCTCCAAGGAGCAGCCTGGTTTAATCCTCTGTACGATGAATCTGTTTGTTTTCTTGGCAGTCCATGGTACATTCAATACTCTTCTCCAGCACCACAGCTCAAAGGCGTCAATTCTCCTGTCCTCCCTAGTCATTGTCCAACTCTCAGATGCATAACAAGTTATTGCAAAACCATGGCCTGTATCAGGCGGACTTTAGTCTTCAGAGAGACACCGTTGCTCTTGAGTACTTTAGAGAGGTCCCTAACCGCAGACTTTCCCATTGCAATACGTTTTTTGATTTCCTGGCTACTGGTGCCAAGAGTGTTGACCATGGAGCCGAGCAAACTGAAGCTGTGAACAATCTCAATCTCTTCGCCATCCATCCTGATGCTACCGATTGGTCCAGTGGTGAGAATTTTTGTCTTCTTGACATTGAGCCTCAGTCCATATTGAAGGCTGCAGTCCTTGACCCTCTGCAGTAAGTGCCTCTCTCTATATATATATTCCATATATATATTCCATATATATATTCCATATATACACACACACACACATATATATATACTGAAAAAAAAGAAAACTTGGGGCCTTGTCTTTTTAACCTGGTTCCCTGTGCCTCTCCCGTGCTCTCTCTCTTTGTCTCTTTGTGTTTTTTTCTTCAGCAGCACCGTCTCCTCAGGTCCCAATGGTAAATGACAACAGGGACCCAGGTCACGTGTTCAAGCCCACTGGAGGTACAGCAAGAGGCAGCTCTACTCACCTGAGAAGGAGGCACACTTCCTGCTTGGCACTCTGAGCCAGGCTTTGGGCTGCTTCCACCATTGCGAAGATGTGCCTACGAGGAAGACTGGAGCTGAGAGGCCAGAGGTGGGCATCAGGAGCCCTCCTCATGTCAGCTGTAGGAATAAACATGACATGTCCCAGGCCCCAGGATCTGGTCCCTCAAGTGGTGAACAAGGGTCTGTGGAAGGGTACATACGGGGTTGTGTTGGGGACTTTTCCAGGACGGTAGCTGGCCAGGACCTCAGGTGTAGAGAGAGGCAGGGGCCTACAGGGGTTCAAGACAAGTAGTAGGGGCCCCCCAAAGGTCTGAGGAAAAAGGCAGAAATTCACCAGAGCATGGAGGGAAAGTAGGTGCAAATCATTGGGGTGGGACCTTGATGTACCCCACTCCAGCCACCCTGGTTTCACTCCACAGTCCCCAAAGATGGTCTACCACACACCCAGGGGTAGGGCAGTAAAGGGGCCTCTGTCCCCAAGGGAATGGCCACCTCCAGGCCCTGTCTCCTCCCCAGGCCCTCCTTACATAGATTCGGTCCAGGTGAAATCTCTTCTTGAGGCACAAGAGCACAGAGCTGTCACACAGTGGTCTGGGGTGGGGACAGCAGGGTGGGGGACAGGGAGTTAGGAGGGCAGAGGGCTCGGGTTAGTTTGCCCTGGGCTACGGGACAGCTGGGAACCCATTCACCCTCTCTGAGCTTCACCCATCAAACAGGAGCCCCGCTGTTCAATCACCCACGCCAAGGGGTGTGACAAGCATGAATGTCACTAACTACTTCATGCACTTAGAGAGTGATGTGGTGGTCAGTGGCCCATGCAACAGCAAACCCTCTGTGGTACAGACCCCTGGAAGGGTCTGCTGCCCAGGTCACCAATGCTGAACATAGAGGAGTTAAGGGGCGCCAGGACTCGATCCCCGGGATTGGCTGACTTGCAGCTCACCGCAGCCGAGCCAGGTCCTCGATGTCCTCCAGGCCCTTGTGCTCAGCATCGGGGACAGGTGACGCCTCCATCCCAGGCCCGAGGCTCAGCTCCAGGTGCCGCTCCAGCGCCTCCTCCGCCTCGTCCTCAGGCTCCCAGCGCTCCCCGGGGCACCTGCGGGGCCCCAAGCACCTTTCTCGCCCCAAGCGGGTCTCCAGGGTGAGCTGGGGCAGCAGCGTGCAGGGTCTAGGCTCAGGGTCCTCACGGGGGTCCTCGCCCTGCGCCCAGTGCACTGGCACCTTGGCTTCTGAGACCTGGGGCTCCGCCTCGCTGCTGGAGCCGCTGTCATTGCCCGGGGACTCGTCGGGGGCAGTCAGGACGAGGAGGGAGCTGGTTGCTCCTTCCTCTGCCGCCCTGCTCCCCTCATTGTCCCCTTCCCCGGCGGGCACGTCCACGGTCGCTTCCCCTGAGTTCCGTGTGCTCGACACCCTTCTTGCCGGGTGGATCCTGGGGAACACGACCGCGAACTTGGGGTCACCAGCCACATCTTCCTGGTGGGAGGGGTCGTCAGGGGCTGCAGTCTTCACAGCCTGCAGGGAACCGGAGCCGCCGCCAGGGGGAGCCCTCGGCCGTCCCCCAAGGCCTGAGACGCCCGCCAGACGCAGCACTAGACGGCGCCGAAGCCCCGCCCCGGGGCGCCGCCCCTCGCCCCCCCGAGGCCCCACCCTCCTATCCATGTCCCGCCCCTCGCACGCCGGCGGCCCTGCCACGCTACTTGAGCCCCGCCCCTCACGCTCCCGCAGCCCCGCCCCGCTGCCTGAGCCCCGCCCCTCGCGCTCCCGCGGCCCCGCCCCACTACGTGAGCCTCTCCCCTGGCTCGCCCCAGGCCCCGCCTCGCTGCTTGAGCCCCGCCCCTCTCGCGCCCCAGGCCCCGCTCTCCGCCCCTTGTGCTTGTGCAGTTCGAGCCGCCGCAGCAGCCACCCGAGCAGGCCCAGGGTGCGCACTGCGCGCATGAGCCGTTCCTTGAGGCCTGCGTGGCGGGGCTGTGCGGCCCCGGGAGCAGGGCCTGGCGGGGGCGGAGCGCCGGAACTGCGGAGCGCCACGAGGGCCGCCGGCGGCGCCTGGTCCGCGGGCGCGTCGTCCGCCTCCACCGCCCCCGGGCGCTCTCCCGCCCGCACCTGCGTCTTCTCCAGCTCTGTTCCCACCTGGCGGCGCCTCGCTCGGGGCATCGACGCTTCGCTGGCTCCGGGCTCCGCGCCCCGCGGCTCGCTCTCGGCCTGCGCCCCGTGGCCACTGGCGCCCGGCACCGGCCGGCTGTCTCGAGGAGACCGCCGAGGGGCGCGCGCACGGCGGTCCACGAGAGGACTGGAGCCCGGGGCGCCTCGCGCTGCCCTTTCGTCCTTGGCGGCTCGGCTCGCTGTCCCCGGGACTGTCCCAAGGCTGGGGTCAGGTCCAGCTCGCTCCAGACTCGAGTTTGTCCCAGACGCGGAGTCCTCGCTAGCTCCCGGGGGCCTCGTTTCCAAGAGCCTCTCCTGGCTCGGGCCTCGGGCAGGGGCCTGGGCACTGTCTCTGCGCCCTGGCTCTGGCGCAGTTCGTGGACCTTCCGAGTCCGTGGCCGTGTCCCCCAGCCCGGAGCGCAGCCGCGGGGCCCCGCCGCTCTGGCTCCCGCTCTCCGCGGGCTCCCACGCTTCGCTGTCCAGGCAGGAGCTGCCCCCGTCCCCACCCGACGTGTCGCCATCGAGGCTCCGGGTCTCCTGGCCGCCTGGTTGGCCAGAAGACCTCCGCCCTCTCCCTCTCCTGCGGCGGCCTCGCTCGTCCCGCCGCCCTTCTTCCGGTGCCCTTCCCTCCACCTTCCCACCTCGGCTGGTCCCCGGTTTCCCGCTTTCCTCGGGGACACAGCCCCGACGCCGCCTGCTGCCTCGCTTCCCTGGGGGCTCTAACGGTACTCCGCGGCCGCTGCTCCCTTCTGTAGAGGGTTCCCCCGGGTCTCCCTGGTCTCTGGCGGTGGTGGGCTCTGAAGTGGGTTCCGCCCCTCGGTCCTTACTGCGGCCTGGTGGGCAGTCGCGGCCGGGCTCCCCGTCGGCGCTGACCAACCCGGACTCCTGGTCCTCTTTCGCCGGCCTCCTCCCCGCTCCCGCTGTGCGTTTGGGCGCTTTGCCCTTCCTCCCACCCATGGCGTCTCCAGGGACAAGTGGCAGCAGGGTCTGTAGTGCCCACTATCAGGGGATCTGGCTACTCGGGTGCAGGACCTCTGGGTGTCCATGCAGGCTCGCTCTCCTGCCCCACCCCGGGCTCCTGCCTTACATTAGGCCATCAATAATGCAGGTGCAGCGGGTCCTGACCCCCTCAGCCAACAATGGAGCAGAGGACACTCGAGAAAGAGGAGACGCTGCATACAAAGGCCGTGGACAGCCGATGGTGCTGCTGTCAGCCAGGCCATCTGGGCACCTCCTCTGCCATCAGCTTGCCCTGCAGGGAGGGCCGTGAACCTAGACCCACCCTCCTTCCTTGACCTTCTGGGGGGTTCCACAAGGCTTTACTAGGCAGACAGACCTTCAGCGCTAGTCATGTGGCATTGCAAGAATTTTGTTACCCGATTCTTCAGTTGTGAAATACACCACAAGGGTAGCCTTTACAGAGGAAAGCCAAACACCTCTCTGTAAGCCCTGAGGGAGCTCTGGTGGTCCAGTGGTAGGAAGCTGCATTGCAATCCAACAGCCCTTCTGCGGAAGGAGGATGGGCCATCTCCTCCCTGCAATTTGTTGTTGTTAATGTGCCATCAAGTCACCTGCAACTCATAGCAACTGTGTACAACAACTCTGAAGGCTGCCCTGTCCTGAACCAGTCTCACTGACTCCAATACACCTATCCCCATTGCCTTAGTTACTGTATCAGTCCATCTCATCCAGCATCTTCCTCGCCTGTGTCCCCTCAACCCTTCTGAGCATGATGTCCTTCTCTAAGGACCAGTCTTTCCTGGCCACGTGCCCAAAGTATGTGAGATGTAGCTTCAAAATCCTAGCCTCCAAGGAGAAACTTGGTTTCACCCTCTCCAAGACCTATTTGTTTTCTTGGCAGTCCATGGTATGTTCAAGACTTCTCCAGCACCACAACTCAAAGGCATCAATTCCATTCTACTTAGTCATGAAGCTTTCTGATGCTTAGCAAGTAATTGCAAAGACCATGGACTGGATCAGGCGTGTCTTCGTTTCTAGACTGACATAGTTGCTTCTTAGTACTTTAGAAAGGTCCCTGACGGCAGTTTTCCCCAATGCAATTTGCCTTTTGATTTCCTGACTGCTCGTGCCAAAAGTATTGATTGTGGAGCTGAGCAAACTGTGACTGTTAACTTCAACCTCTTCTCCATCCATCATGGTGCTGTCACTTGGCCCAGTGGTGAGCATGTTTGTTGTCTTGAGGTTGAGCCCCTGCCAATTTATACCTCTGAAAACCCCATGGAGGGTCAGCTATGAGTTGGTTCTTACCCCACAGCACACAACAGCAACAATGCTGTCTTTTTTTTTTTTTTTACAATGCTGTCTTAAAATCAACTTCTCAACTTGAAAATAACTGGCTTACCATAGGAAGGTTCATACAGGGTACAAATAGTTTATGTTCCATAGTAGTTGTGTACAGTCGAGTGGGAACTTACAGCTGACTCTCCAGCAGGTTTTCAGAGGCAATAAATTGCACGGGAGGAGACTAATCTTTCTCCCATAGAGAAACTGCTGGATTTGAACCACGTACGTTTGCAATGGCAGCGGAAGGCCTTACTTCCACCAGAGCTCCCTTTATACTCCACAGTGATCGAGCTTGGAAGAGTGGAGGGACAGTGCAAGAGAGGAAGATTCTCAATGAGATGGACTGACTCAGTGACTGGAGTGTGGGGGTAGATAGGTTGGCTCAGGATAGGGCAGTTCCCTCTGTCGGAAGTAGGTTGGAATCAACTTGAGCAGGCTTGTTTTGTTTGTTGTAAAAGGGCTCTGGGGCAGTGCTGCAGGGGGAGGCTTGGGAAACTAGAGATGAGAGCCAGATGAGGTGTTGAGCCAGGGCCTGACCTCACCAGGGCCCCTTGCGCCCCCCCATTCTCATCGGCAGCCCAGGAGCAGGGAGGTAACATTCCAGAGGCAGCCCTTTCCCCAGGAATGCTCTGGAGTCTGCTGGCTCTGGTCACACCCCCACGTCTGCACAGTGCAGCTGCGGCCTCAGACAAGGGCGAGGCTACTGCAGGCCATCAAGTCACCTGGAGGTCACTTCCAACCCAGGGGCCTGGTTCAAGCCTGGAGTGGAAAGGGACTTGACCTTTACATGTGCGTTCTACAGAAGGCAGTCTTCTAGAGACGGAGGCAGGGGCCCTAAAAGACCACAGGCCTGTTAAACAAAACCAAATAAAACACTTAAGTGGAGTGGGAATACTAGCGATACTAGGGGAGAGTAGAACTGCTCCATAAGGTTCTCAAGACTGTAGTCTTTATAGAAGGAGCCCTGGTGACACAGTGGTGAAAATGGTTGGTTGTTAACCTCAGGGTCAGGAGTTCAAATCTACCAGCTACTCTGAAGGAGAAAGAGGATGTCATCTGCTCATCATTTTATAATCTCGGTCCTCTGTATCTTACCATTCACTTACTGCTAGTGAGTGGGTGTCTGAGGCTGGAAGTCAGAATGGGAGGACACTCCCCATTTTCCTCCCATGGACCTTTGTGGATTTGAACCAGTGGAGATCTGCAGCCTGTGTGTTGGCATGGCAACTTGCTATGGGCTGCAATAACAATAGATGTCCTATCTCACTCTCAGTGTCTAAAGGACATTGTGTTTGGACACGTAGAGGAAACCAATCAGTCTGTTTCCAAGGCTGGATGTAAACTGGAATGGGAGGACACAGTGGCCCACCTTTCTCCGGAGGAACACTGGTGGCTTCAAACAGCCCAGAAGCTTGGCCTTTGGGTCAGTTGTGCAACTCTTATAAAGACTATGCAGCCAGAGCTCCCTCCACTGCAATTAAGTGGATCCTAACTCAGTGAACCCCACCAGGTTTTCAAGGCGTTTTCAAGGCTGTTAATCTTTGCTGGAGGAGATGGTTCACGTGGACTTAAATCACCCCCTTTGGTTGGCAGCCTGATAAGTTAGGCACCACACCACTGTTGTTGCTGTGAGGTGCCAGCGAGTTGACAATACATCTGAACCCCGTCCGATCCTGTGTCTTCCGCGTCATCTCTGACACACATGAGCCCAGTGTGGCAGCTACCTGTCAGTTCACCTTGAGGGTCTTCTCACCTTTCTAAGTATGATGTCCCTTTTCAAGGAATAGCCGCTTCTAGCAACATGCCCGAAGTACGTGAGAGAAGCTTTGCCATCTTTGCCTCAAAGGAGTACCCTGGCTCCATTTTCTCCAAGACATGTCTGTTTGTCGTTTTGAGAGTCCGTTGGCTAGCCTGTGTCCTTCTCTAACACCACAATGCAAATGCATCAATTCTTCCCTCTGTTATTTTTATTCATTGTCCAGTTCTCAGACACATAGCAAGTGAGTGGAAAGGGCCATGGCCTGAGTCAGGTGCACCTTAGTCTTTAAACTGACATCATTACTCTTCAGGACTTTGGAAAGGTCCCTGACTGCAGACTTTCCCAGTACGAGCTACATCTCAACATCAAGAAGACAAAAATCATCACCTCTGGACTGATAGGCAACATAATGATAGACACAGAAAAGACTGACATTGTCAATGTATACATCTTAATGGGATTCCTTGGCACTAGCAGTCAACCCAAAAGCTAGGAGGACACCACCAGGGCTTCTTATATGCCCTGTACGGTTGTCCTCCCACCACCTTCCAGTGACTGCTGACTCCTGGCAACCCCATACTGAGTTCCAAGGCTGACATCTTATTAGGAGGCAGCTTCACCTGTCACAGCGTCTGCTGACCTTCCCATCCACAGCTCAACACTTAATCTACTACACCAGGCCTCTTTATAAGGTTGCTCGACTCTGACTTTGCTGAAGCCGATTGCCAGGAACTTAACCACTACACCACTGAGGTGCCGTCAGCTCCAGCCCCTCTTCCCCAAGGCAAATCAAGGACAAAAGTCAACTGTTCAGAAGCCTTTGTTTACCTGTGACAAGCAGACCATTGGGTGGGGGCTTATACTCCAGGCCAGGGAAGGTGATCAATATCAACAAACGTCTAGATAAGCAGAATGTGGTATTCTGTACCATGACTCACCAGGATAAACTTGAAAACATGCTGTTTGAGAGGAAGAATTTGGACACACAGGGCAAATACTGTTTAATAATACAAGCAAGAGAATAGAGCCCAGGGGCTGAGGACAAATTGTTGCTGAAAGAGCGCTGAGATTCAGCCTGGCCAGGGTGAGGAAGACCTTTTGGAAAGAGACAGTTACACGCCACGGTGAATGCAATAATGTCAGTCAATTAATGCTTCGTATTGCATTGCACCACTTTTTTATGCATTTATCTGTTGATTCTTTTACGCTGTGACCACCTGGCTCTTGTTTGTGGAGTGAACACTGCGGTGCAAGAATTTTGAGTCCTTACTTTCAACTTTTTGGAACTGCTGGGTTTAGAAGCCAGGGGAGAGAGACTTGGTCTTGTGTAATTTGAGCATGTTACTAGGAGGGGCCTGTCTGTGGAAAAGGACACTGTGTTTGGGAATGTAGAGAGTCGGGGGAAAACATGAAGCCCCACAAGAAGATGGTTTAATGACGAGGTTTAAGCACCGAGATTGTGAGAACGGCACAGGGGTCAACCAACGCTTGGTTCTGTTGGATGTGGCCACATTGATGGCACCTAGGGAGCCCCTGAACTAGCTGTCAGGTGCCTTCAACTTGACCTGATGAACAACAGATGGAAACCTTGCTCTATCACGGGCCATCCTCAATCTCCATGATGCACAGAGTTCCATCCGCGTGTGGGATCTTCCTCTTTTGCTGACCCTCTGCCTGACCAAGCATCACGTCTTTTTACAAGGACGAGTCCTTCCTGATCACACGGCCCAAGTTTCCTCTCTTTGTCTCTAAGGGGCGCCCTGGTTGCACTTCCTCCAAGACGGATGCTTGTTCTTTTGGCAGCTCGTGATATATGAGCTCCCCATGCTGCTTCTCCACAGGGTCTGAGCATTTTTCCTACCCCTGGTGTGAATATCTTTCCTTCTAGCATGTTCTGTTGGCCCCACTCAGCTTTCTACTCCTACCACCACCACCAGGCTGATTCCCTCACTCCCTCTCTCGGTCCAAAACAGTGGGTCATCCCTGATACCTTGTGCCCAGTCAACTCTTGGTCACCTCCCCACATGCATTTCTCACTAGCCCCGGGGTTTAGTTCAATGGCGTAATCTTAGCTTCCCATGACCCAGGTTCTATTCCCAGCCAATGCTTCTCATGTGCAGCCCCCGTCCATTAGTGGGGATGTGAATGATGCTGACCAGGTTTGAGAGAAGCCTCCAGACTAAAGTGCACTAGGAAGAATGGCCAGGTGAAATTTCTCGCCCCAAACCAACCTTTTGATTCATAACGGCCTAGTCTTGTGGGGTTGTCAGGAGATGAAGTGGACGTGACAGAAAGCAAACCCTTCCCCATGATGTCTAGTACTAGGCTCCGATCACCTGTGCGGACACAGTGCCCCCCAGGACCTTTGACACCTGGGGACCTGAGGGGTCTTAACAAGAAAGAATAAAACAAAAAAACAAAAAAAGGCGGCAAACCCCTAATCCAACTGCAACAACCACAAGCAGCGCAATGGCTGGGACCACGTGTCTGCGTTACCCCTTCAAGTGCTTGACACACAATAAGCGTAAAGACAAAGGCTGGTGAATAAAGGACATGCCAAGTAGAATGAAAATAAAACAAACACAAACCCAGATTCCTCGCAGTGGGCCCCAGCCCCCGGTAATCCAAGTTCTCCTTCCTGCAATGTTTCTGGAGCTGACGCAGGGCAGCTGGGGGCTTCGAACGGAGCTTACACTTAAGCAGCTGAACCCTTAAACCATTTGCCACAAAGGTCCTTCTAGTGAGTATCGGAATCCCAGGAGTTCTGGTGGCACAGTCTCGAGGGAGGTGAACTGTTAACTCACGGGTGATGCTTCTCTGGTGGTTCAAGTCCAACCTTGGTTTTGTGGGCGAAAGATGGGCAACTTCTTGTCCAATATGTTGTTGTTATGTGCCGTCGAGTCGCCTGCGACTCATAGCGACCCTATGTACAACAGCCCTAAACTCCGCTCTGTCCTGTGCCAATCGCA